TGGATGCCTGCTGTCGGGTTCCCCGGTGAGTGGAGATACCAGGGGGAATTTCTGATGGAAAATGAGGAGGTTCCTCCAATGAGGAGCTTCCCAAAACAAGGAGCTTCCCAAAATGAGATTCCTCCAATGAGGAGCTCCCTGAAACATGTGTAATGAGGAGCTTTCCAAAACAAGGAGGTTCCTCAAACAAGGAGGCTCCTCCAATGAGAAGCTTCCAGAAATGAGGAGCTCCCCAAAATAAGGCACTTCCTTTAATGAGGAGCTCCCTGAAATGAGCTTACTCCGATGAGGAGCTTTCCAAAACAAGGAGGTTCCTCAAACAAGGAGGCTCCTCCAATGAGAAGCTTCCAGAAATGAGGAGCTCCCCAAAATAAGGCACTTCCTTTAATGAGGAGCTCCCTGAAATGAGCTTACTCCGATGAGGAGCTTTCCAAAACAAGGAGGTTCCTCAAACAAGGAGGCTCCTCCAATGAGAAGCTTCCAGAAATGAGGAGCTCCCCAAAATAAGGCACTTCCTTTAATGAGGAGCTCCCTGAAATGAGCTTACTCCGATGAGGAGCTTTCCAAAACAAGGAGGTTCCTCAAACAAGGAGGCTCCTCCAATGAGAAGCTTCCAGAAATGAGGAGCTCCCCAAAATAAGGCACTTCCTTTAATGAGGAGCTCCCTGAAATGAGCTTACTCCGATGAGGAGCTTTCCAAAACAAGGAGGTTCCTCAAACAAGGAGGCTCCTCCAATGAGAAGCTTCCAGAAATGAGGAGCTCCCCAAAATAAGGCACTTCCTTTAATGAGGAGCTCCCTGAAATGAGCTTACTCCGATGAGGAGCTTTCCAAAACAAGGAGGTTCCTCCATCAGGGAGCTCTCTGAAATGAGGACCTTCCCAAAACAAGGTTCTTCCAGTGAGGAGCTCCCCAAAATGAGGAAGTTCCTCGTAATGAGGAGCTTTCTGAAACAAGAAGGTTCCTCTAATGTGCAGCTCCCCAAAATGAGTAGGTTCCTTTAACATGGAGCTCCCTGAAACAAGGAGGTTCTTCCAATGAGGAGCTCCCTGAAACAAGGCAATTCCTGACGTGTTTCCCTGTCTCCGGAAGGCGACCCTTCCCTGCACGGCGATGTCTGGGCCTGGCTGGAGTTCATCCTCACCTCCATCTTCAGTGCTCTCTGGGTCCTGCCCCTCTTTGTCCTCAGTAAGGTCGTCAACGCCATCTGGTTTCAGGTGGGTGCTTGGAAAACAGGTTCCGGCTGTATTCCTGGTGACATAATCCCGGTGGATTTTGGATCCTCTCTCTTCTCTCCATCAGGATATTGCGGATCTCGCCTTCGAAGTGTCCGGCAGGAAACCTCACCCCTTCCCCAGCGTCAGCAAAATCATCGCCGACATGTTGTTCAACCTCTTGCTGCAGGCGCTCTTCCTCATCCAGGTGAGGATTTAACCCCCCTAACCAACCACGTCCCCTTGGAGTGACCTTCTCCTGAGCTCCCCTCATGCTCCCACTGGGATTTTATCCATAGGGAATGATTGTGAGCCTCTTCCCCATCGATCTGGTCGGCCAGCTGGTTGGGCTCCTCCACATGTCACTGCTGTACTCGCTCTACTGCTTCGAGTACCGCTGGTTTAACAAAGGTGGGAGACACTTCCAGGTGGGATGTGTTGGGATGGAGGCTGCTCCGTGCTAGTGGTTGGGTTCTGATGGGTTTTCTGCCCCTTTCCCACCAGGAATCGAGATGCACCAACGCTTGTCCAACATCGAGAGGAACTGGCCCTACTACTTTGGCTTCGGCTTGCCGCTCGCCTTCCTCACGGCAATGCAGTCGTCCTACATCATCAGGTGAGGGGACAGCCACCATTCCACATCCACATCCTTCTTCCTCACCCCAAGCCCCTTCCTTATGTCACTTTACCATATTTTGGGATTTTTTTCCCTTCCAGTGGTTGCCTCTTTTCCATCCTCTTCCCCCTCTTCATCATCAGCGCCAATGAGGCGAGGACCCC